AGCAGCGCCGCCTGATGGTAGGGCACGCTCTGGCGCACCCCGTAGCCGTGGCGCTTCCCGGCCTGCCACTGGCCCTGGTAGGTGCCTGAGGGCGGGATAGGAGGGGGAGAAAGAATCAGGACCTGCTGCTCCTTGCACCCCAGGCCCCAAGCACCCCTGGAAGCCTTAGTGTGGAGGTCGGGGAAGGGCACTAGGGCTAGGGACAGGCCAGGTGGGGTCGGAAGGTGTGGAAAAGCGGCAGACAAGTAGCAAGAGGCCTGTGAATTTTGGCGGTGTAGGTAGACAAGGGAAAGGCAGAGGGGCAGGCAGGCTGTGGTGTGCGGGGGACAGACAGTCCAGAGGTGTAAAGGACAGGCTGACGGAGTGTATAAGATAGCCATGTGACAAGCAAACAGGACTAGGAGGGGCAAGCCGACTGCGGAAATGTGAGGGGACAGGCAGAGCAGAGGTGTTAGGGGCAGGTAGGTGGAGAGGGGAGGTGCGTGGGACCGGCACAGAGGAGGCGTGTAAGGGGCTGGCAAACGGGGTGTGTGAGGGTCAGACGGGGGTGAGGTGGGCGTGGGGGGTGGAGTGAGGGACAGGTAGATTGGGGAGAGGGAAAAGCAGGCAGGGGGCCGACAAATGAGTAAGGCGAGTGCGATGGCGGGAGGAGAGGCCAGGAAGGTGGGCGCAGGGGTGCATGTTGAAGGGGATGGCGTATGGGAAAAGAGCAGGGCATGGGGGTGGGGAGATATGGCGGGGAAAGGCAAACGCGGGCCAGACCGACTGGGAGGCGTACGCGGACCAGCAGACAGACAGCAGTGGGCCGGGCCCCGCACCTCCGTCGGAGTAGGTCTCGGTGCCGTAGCCGTCCTGGAAGCCGTCCTTCCAGAGCCCGGCGTAGCGCAGGCCGGACACGCTCTCCCACACGCCGCTGCGCCCCTTCAGCCCGCCCAGCCACTCGCCGCGGTACGTCCAGCGGCTCTTGCGCTCCACGCCCAGCCCTTCGCGCTTGCCCTGCTGCCAGTGGCCCTGGTAGCTGTGTCCGCCGGGCCCCGTGAAGACGCCCAGTGACTCGAAGCCGTGTGCCCAGCAGCCGCTGTACTCGCCCTGGGCGCCGGGCCCGGTGCACACGCCGTAGCCATGTGCCCGCCCCGCCTCCCAGCCCCCCACGTAGCAGCCCCCGTCGTCAAAGTCGAACTTGCCCCCGGGGGACATGCATGTAGTTGGCGCGGCCTCAGCCCCCCGGCGGCTCAGCGCATCCTGGGGCTGGAGAGCCGGCTGGGGGCCTGGGAGCCGGGCGAGGCCTGGGGGCGGGGGCAGTTAGACTGGGGCCGGGCGGGGGGGCCCCAGCGCGGGCTGGCAGGGCCGGACCCTCATCCTGAGTGGCTGCAGAGAAAGAGGGGGGGGTAGTGGTGAGCGAGGCCCCTCCTCTTTGCCCGCGGCTCCTTGGCCCAGTGGCTCCGGGGCAGCAGCACCGCCCCCAACCCCCCACCTGCGGTAGCATCTTACAGCCGCTCCTAAGCTTTGGAGGCACGGGGGCTCCCTCACCGCTCTATTCTAGTAGAGGACCCCTCCCATTACTTGGGGTCCCAATCCCAAGCGGGAGTCCCAGTTCTCCAGTCTAGAACCCCAGAGTGTCCAGTGTGGATGGCAGTTTTGGGGAGGAGGGTTCTGAGAGGGGGCTGGGCAGAGTCTTAGGCCATCCGCTTACTTGGCTGCTGTCAGGACCCCCCAGTCCCGGTTCTTTGGCTTCCCAGGCAAAGGTGGGAGATGTAGCAGAGGAGATCTGAACAAGGTGGGCAGAAGGTTTGGTGGGGAAAAGGAGATGGGGAGGCTCTGCAGGGCAAACGCGAGGGTGGGGGTGGGCAGACAGGCAGGGGGGAGTGGGTAGGTTACTCACCATGTGGGCTGGGGCGCAGACCGCCTCCCAGGCACGGCGTCCATGGCAGGATACCTCCACTCCC